TACTCTCTTCTGCTGCAGACCGGTTCTCTGTTCCTGCTCAGCCACACATCAGCAGGGGGTGGAGCCACCATGCCCCGCCCACCATGGTCAATGTAAGTCCGTCAGGAACCAAGAGCCCCATGTCCTCGGTTATGGTCTCTGTTTGTACTCCCTGGGAAGGAACACACCCTTGTCCTGTCCCTGCCGCCGCCGTGGAAGTTCTCTGAAGCTGTCCCCAGAACTAGCCTGTCTGGCCTTGGTTTTGTCTTGTGTTTGCGTCACAGCAACGCAAAAGCCGTGGCCAGCAGAAGTGATGCTACAGACGCCCTTCTTTCTCCTCACACACTGGCTCCCAGGTACCCTCCACGCCGTGATCGGCAGCTCCCAGGCACCCTGCACGCCGTGATCGGCAGCTCCCAGGCACCCTCCACGCCGTGATCGGCAGCTCCCGTGCCTTTCACTTTCGTGTTATTATCTCTTAGACGCGTCTCTGAGCGCTTGAAGAAACTCGGTGTCCCAGAGCTGAAGTCCTTTGGTTTCTAGTAGATGAAAGAAAGCCACTGCTGCCTCTTGCTAAGGAATGCCAGGAACAGAAATATGATAGGGTAGGCTGACCTTAAACTGTGGACACACAATCCAAACATCCACTTACTACATGATTTCAAGATGTTTAGCATCTGCTTCAAATTCACATTTCAGGATGCTTAGCATCTGGGGCTGGGGCTGTTCGGTAGCAGAAAATTCGCTTAGCACAAGGGAGGGCTTGAACTGGACCCTTAGCATCCCCCACCATCACTGTTATGTTCCCTGCTGGTCTGAGCTTGGGCTCCAGTGTCTCTGTCCTGGCTGGACCACACACCTCAGAAGGAATGCAGGAAGCATCTTGCCAGTCATCAAGACAAGAGTTGCACATTTTGAGATTTCTCAGTAAATCTTGTGTGGTGATATTGTGTTCCCCAGAATATTGTGCACCCTAATAAACGTATCTGGGGTCAGAGAACAGAACAGCCACTAGATACAGAGGCCAGAAAATGGAGGCACACACGCCTTTAATCCTAGCATTCCACAGGCAGAGATCCGCCTGGATCTCTGTGAGTTCAAGGGCCACACTGGAAACAGCCAGGCATGGTAACGAGAGCTTTTAATCCCAGGAAATGATGGCAGAAAGCAGAAAGGTATATAAGGATCAGCTGAGGAACTGGCGAGGTGAGGTTAGCTGTGGCTTACTCTGCTTCTCTGATCTTCCAGCATTCACCCCAATACCTGGCTTCAGGTTTGATTTTATTAATAAGACCATTTAAGATTCATGCTACAAACTTGCCTTGTCTAAGGGCAAGATATCTGTGACTTCCACTGTATACACACACAGCACACACACACACACACACACACACACACACACACACACACACACAGGCACATGCATACACGCGCGCATGCACACACACACATACACAGGCAATGCACACACGTGCACACACACACAACACATGCACACACATACACAACACACTGTGCATGTACAGCACACACACACAGGCAATGCACACATGCGTTCATGCACACACACACACACACACACACACACTGTATAATTAGTAAGGTGCATATGAAGATGCAGCAGCATCTGGGATCTGGTGAGGCGAGCCCCCAAAGATGCCACCATGTCCCTGTTCCCCCAGGGGATAAGAGTTTCACACACTTCTTGAACAGACTGACCTCTGCAGGTCTCCACGCCAATCCTTGATGGCAGCCTTCTGTGGCTGGCCAAGAGGATTCCTTGCTTGATGATACATTGTTTTAGAAATGATTTGTTTGTTTTTACTGTGACATTTGGAAGAGGGTCTGGAAGCCCTTTTGATTTCATGGCTTCTACTTGGGGAAAAAAAATAAACTATTTCTCTTTAATTTCCAGGAGTCACACCGAACACATTGTGCAATAACTTTATTGGAAATGAGAATTTAATGTGGACGAGCTTACTTTCCCACCCTCCCTGCTGTGCGGTTCTCATGAGTGTGGCCCCTACTCCGTGGGTGATCTGGGCCCCAACACACACTCCCTCTCCAGGGAGAGTCCTCAGGAAGACTTGGGGGGATTCCTCTAATCTGGAGGAAAGACTGGGGAAGGGCATGTCGGGGTGAGCTGAGGCATTGCAGGCCTGTCCACATTCCTTGTCCTGGTCCTACTCCACAGGGTGGTCCCATGTGGACAGTCCCTAGTCCCCAGAAGACCCTGTGCCTGGACGTCTTTTCCTCCTCCAGCTCATGTGTTCTTTTCTTGTGGCTGTCATTCGATGCCAAAATCCTGCTTCTCTTTCTCTTCCATTAGATTAAATGCCAAGCAGTCCTTGACCTACACACCGAAGTCCTTGCCACATCTGGCCAATCACAAGAAGGGGAGCCCTCAGGTGAGCCTAATCGTGGGTGACAATTCTCTGGTATTTGTGCTTCCATGAAGATGGAGAGATCTTTTGGAACGAAGAGATTTCTTTGCCTCTCCCCTTCCTCGTCTCCCACCATCCCCTCCTTCCCCACCCCCTTCCTCACCCAAGGTGATTGAAGGTGCCCAAAGGCAATATCTCCCCCCCCCAAGAGGGCTTACTTTTCTGATATCTATGTCTGAATTCTTGACTAAAGAAGAAGAAGGAGGAGGAGAAAGGACACATTTGGGCTAGTGTTCTGGAGGGAACAGTCCACCACAGAGGTATGGCAGAGTTCATGGCAGCTAGAGTGTGGCTTCAGAGCCTCAGATCTCAGCAAAGAGGAGATTCAGGCTGGAATCGGTGTAGGACCAGCCCCAGTGACCCACTTCCTACAATGAAACTCCACCTTGAGGGTCTCACAAATTCCCCAAATAGCATGACCAGCTGAGAAACAGGTATTCAGCACATGAGCCTGAGTGGGAACAGCTTACGCCCAAACCTCAAAACTTCTTCAAATTCCTGCAAATTTCACTTTTAGATAGCTCGTTAACATAAAACCTGACAATTCACTTCTTTCTCACTGCTCTGGTTAAGAGTTCAAGTACAATATTAGGTAGGTGTGGATAAAGTGGACATATGTTCTTTGCCTGAGTTTTGTGGAAGTGTTTGAGCTTTGGTTTTTGTTTTTTTTCATTTAGCATGATGTTAGCTGTAGGTTTGTCATGTACTGCCTTTATTACATTGAGACCTAAAATTCAAGCTGATAGAGGAAAATTGGGAGAAACAGCTCAAAATATCAACACAGGCAAGCACTTTTTGAACATGAATTCAGTTTCTTAGGAAATGGCCCATCAGCTAAAAACTGGGATTTTCTGAAGTTAAAAGACTTCTTCACAGCAATGAAACCAACATATCCAGTGAATAAACAGTCTACAGAATAGGGGAAAAATTGCTAGTCATATATCTGAGAGAGGTTTGTTATCTAGAATATATAAGAACTCAGGTATCAAGATCCCTAGCAGCTAGAAGCCCCAGCCTCAGAATACAATATAAGAACTCAAACACAAATAAATGGATAAGTACTAATAAGCCAAAGAATCAAATCAATAAATGGACTAATGAAATGGGCAGGAGGTTCCCAAATGATGAAGCAGGCATAGCCAATAAACATATGAAACAGCGTTCAACATTACTGGCCACCAGGGAAATACAAATAAAAATCACAGTGAGGTCCCATTTCACCCCAGTCAAAAAAGATGAATGAAAACAAGTCTTGGTGGTCAGGGGAACTCACCACTGATAGGATGTAAACTAGTCTAGAGACTATGGAAATCAGTGTGCAGGTTACAGAGAAAACTCAAAGTGGGTGTCTTATGACTCACATACACCAGGCTTGGGAGTTTCCCTAAAACACCCCTATTGAAACCCAGTATTTTTGCTGAACTGTATTCTCTCAGAAATAATGGTGATATGTTGACATGAGAAGATCCCTTGGAGATGTGTAAACGATCCACACTTTACAATTACTGCCCTGGATGTTATTTTACAGGGCCCAGGATGCTCTCACCTGATTTTCTCAAAGTTACAGTTGAACAGACAAGCATCAAAGGTGGGTGTTGGCAGACGGGCTCACTCGGGCTCCGGGGCAGAAGGCACAGTGGTTTTCTCTGGCAGCCGACCTTAGCAGTGGTGCTCTGGAATTCCCTAGCCATTCCTCCGGGTCAATGCTCTTCCCTACCTACCACTGCTGCCTCTTAATTATTGCCTTATGAAACAAAATAAACTTCCAAGTCCATCTCACTTGAACCCCAAAGCAAAAGGCACAGAAAACAGAGAGCTGAACAACATGAGATTCGTGACACAGATTTAAATGACTGCTTTCCTGTGTTGTGACAGTGCCATCTTTACACTATTGTGAGGTAAATGGGGAAATGTCTCTTCCTCCATTTCCTCTTGAATGGAGGAAAGCATCTAGTGGGGTCAGCTAGTAACACAGAAGACATGATGCACAGGAAACAGACGCCGTGGAATATGCATGGGCAGCAGTGTCCTCGTGGTCATCAAGGGAGCATGTATGTGCCTTGCGTTGACACCAGATGCTATGACCTCTGCTTGAACCTCAACTACTGTAGAGCAAATAAGGCGGGCGCTTCCTGCGGGGCTGAACTGCCTGACCTGCAGCCCCGGCAGCAGGCGGCGGAACTGGACAGGAACGAAGTGTATTCCCCTGCTACAGATGCTCAAAGTGGGGTTTGTGTGAGTGCGACTACCGTTTCGAATTAGTGGTTTCTGTGCACACGTCAGATGTGTCTGCAGTAACATCGTATAAAGCAACTGGAAGTTATTACAAAATACACATGTGATCCGAAATGAGGGAATCCTTTCCTCCCATGAAAAAGACTTTGATGTCAGAAACAATTGCACATTTGACCTGAACCAAGAAAACTTCAATAGTCGGGTCTTTTCTAATTATTGGATGCTTACCCATTTTAAATTAAGTTTATTTTAAACTGACAAAAACTGAACTTCTATTAAGTATTTTCGTCTATGACTAGTTCAAGACTCCTAGATTAAAACAAAAACAAACAAAACTTTCCCTAGTGTTAACTGGAAAAGAGAAGAGTCTATTTAATGTGAAAAGAGAAGATAAATCCTGAGACTTTGCACGAATGTTTCAGTGACCCACAGATACGGACCCTCTTCTCACCGCGAATTGCGAAAGCCCACCACTGAGGAAGTCTCCTGGCCTTCTGAACCGTGTGTATCCGGAGGAGACCCGAGGGCATGGTGCACGTTGGCTTAGACCGCGGAGCACAGCCTGCCTCCCGGGTCCTGGCTTTAAGAATGCGGGCTCCATTTCTCATCATTCACACGACAGACTTTGATTGTGGTTGTCTGTCAAATTTCCTGGGTTGGACCAGATTCGGTGAACCAAAATAAACAGCTCACAAGCAAAGGTCTGGTGGTGGCGTCCCCCTCTTTTGGTATTCCCAGTTGTTCACGTTCCCCTCGGAGGCACGGAGGAGAGGAGCGTAGGGGCCACACGATCCAGCGAGTGGGTCACAGCAGTTTCAGGGCCCCGAAGAAGGTGCCGTCTCCGTCCCGGGAAATCTGCGCGTTCTCTCGAGGGATGGCCAGCTGAATCTCGTCTCCTTCTTCCAGTCTGGCGATGCCTGGGGCGGGGGTGCCAAGAGTTTTCAGTTAGGGCACGTTAAAGAAAGCTATCACACAATGTCAACACAAGTGTTCACACTCACTCACAACAGCGGACCTCTCAATTGGTCATGACTCTGTTGGCTTTTAAATTAAATAAAATGAGGACCTCAAGAGGAGAAACAACAGATTCCAGATGTGTGTCCACTGTGCGTAGACGGGGATTCCGGCGGCAAATGTCAGTGTCAGGTGGAGCCAACCTTGTTCTTTGAGAGACTATCATATCATCACGGGGTGTGTGCTGCTTAATTTTGCTACTAAAGGAAATGTTTGCTTAATATAAAATATTATATTTAATATATATTATATTTAATATATAATATTAAAAATATAAAATTACACACATACACACACATATATATAATACCCTTTTGTAGCTTGAGAGAAGCCAGCATTATGGTAGCCCCTTTTTATTAATTTGTACTAGTTATTATCAAGTGAGAATGCATGATACATATGGACACATGTCACATGTCACAGCGTGGGGAGTTGGTTTTCCCTCCCCACCTTTACACAGGTTCTGGGGTCAACCTTGGGTGTCCGTGCTCACATGGCGAGTGCCTTTACTCACTGAGGTGTTTCAGCAACTCCTGATTAGAAGTTTAAACCTGCCGCCGCACACTGAATTAAAAAATTCAGCCCAGGCTACAGAGTAAGACTCTGTCTCAAAAAGCCAAAAGTAAATAAGTATCTAAAAATAAAAGCCTTATTTAATATCAATCTATACTGTTTCACAGTTTTCCTCTGAGTCCAGGCTTCGGCTTCGGCCTCTTTCCAGTTTCTCCTCATAGCCTTCTGTACTTGGGGTTTCTCCTCACAGCCCATGGTTCTCTTTATCATCAAAAGAAACAAAGTAATAAACTCCTTAAAATGTTAGACATATCTGTTGGTGCCTAATTTATAACAATGTATTCTGTGACCTGGAAGTGTAAAACACTGCTCGGGAACCACATTCTGTCCGTCAGGTAACTGACACAGACAGACAGTGCTCCATGGACATGCTGTGCATGATGCCTGTGTGTTTTGAAACTGGCAAAGCATTAATGGATTAGTTACCTTAGGAATTAAAGAAAAAAGTGTGAAAAGAGATTAGAGCATGTGTGATGTAAGGATCTGTGGCTGCCCTGGATACTGAGCCTGGTGTAATACTCTGGCCAGGGCTGCGGCAGGCACTGCAAACCCTGGAAATGGCTCCTATTTCAAATCCCAATGCTGATCCATTGGCTACTTTAGTTCCTCCAGGCTGTAGAAATCAGCTGTGACAGTTTTCCCTGCAAGAAGCCTATTCAACTCACCAACAAAGCTATGGTTCATCTTAGTACATACAAACGTTCCTCGGTACCATGCTGGGTGTCTCAAGCTCACCACCACTTGAGGTTGGGCGGGTTAGCGTAGGATCAAAACACAAACTCAAAATTAAAGTAGTAAGCCTGAGACTTCTTGGAGCTGGTTTCCATGTCTAGCGCTGACCTACTGATACTGAGACATATCTTCAACATCAAAGGAGTTAGCCTTTGAAAAGTAAGGGACCCGGGGAGTCTGTCAGAATCCACCCACAAGAAGGAACTGTGAGGAAGCCAAGTGATTTGGAGTCTTTGGGGAGTTATTGGCTGAGGCATTCTATAGCAAATGTCAGCAACAGAGTGGAGGTTTTTCCATTGATAAATATTTTGCAATATCAAAATGCTGGTCAGCACTGGGTACAGAGGCAGACTCCTTTATGAAAATGAGGGACTTCCAACATGACAGACTTCCTCCTGGGCACCGAAGTCATTAGGGGCTAGGGTGGCATGGCCTGTGTGATGGGGTTGTGTTCTCTTCTGCATTCAGCTGATTTATTGGGCGTGTGTTTGTAAAGGCCTTTGAAATACTTCAGAGGTATTTCACAATCCTGGGTTTCACATTGCTGTTGGCTGTAACCGTCTGAGACTGAAGACATTCTTTGGGTTCTGAATAGATTTGTCAAGAGCAGCAGAGAGGGATACAAGTATGTAAGGGGCAAGAGCTGATTAATTTGAAACAACGAGAGGAAAATGTTGGCAGTTCCGGTGTGGACAGGCTGGGACTATAGTCTGCCTTCGCCCGTGCCTCTGTGTCCCTGAGCTCAAGGCAAAGCTGCTGCTGCTGCTGCTGCTGCTGCTGCTGCTGCTGCTGCTGCTGCAGTTTTGAGTTCACAACAAGCCATGGGCACAAGGCCACCTGTTTAACCATGAGAACGAACCCCGCCATGCTACAATATGCCCCTTCCTTGCAGGAGGGACTGACTGGGGTCGTTGCTCCGCCACACGCCCACACTGTGGGGCCGGGCATGCCGGAGCTTGAGACTGAGGCACTTAGGGGCGGTTGTGTCACCTCCGTGGCTCGGATTCTCCCTGAGATGAGGTTACAGGAGTACGGAAGCCGGGGTGGCCCATGGTGAAGCAGCCAGAGGACTGAACGGAAAAGGAAAGCCCAGAGGGTCCTCAGGTTTTTATATCTGACAGTGAGGAGGCATCGTTCCTGTCGCTGATTTAAAAAGGATGGAAGGAAAGCTGCCTTAGAACCCTCCCCTCATGAACTCTCTGCAGCTGTGGTTACCTGCACAAGACCGGAACAAGACCGAGACCCTCGGCTTTGCTTCGGGGGAAGAGGGAGGGGCTCGTGAAGCCACACCTCCCTCTGAGAGACTACTGACAGTTAATGGCTTCTGGGGAAGGAGTGCCATTTTCTTCAGGGGTTTAACTACTAAAAAGTTGCCCAGGCTCCAGCAAATAACCTCCCTCCCATGCTCTCAAAGCCATCACAATTAAGCTCCGTGGAGCTAACACAGGAAAAGACAGGAAAGCAGGAGGGGGCTTGTTCAGAAGAAGAAGGGAAACCACAGAAGTGTAACAGCGGTAAGGACTAACAGTCATTATGTCCATGCGTGACTTCGTCACAGAGGAGAAGAAAAATAAGAATTGTTCCAATGTCAAACTCTGTGACACTTGTTCTTAATTTTTTAAAACTCATTTATCTCATTTAATTATTTTCATGTTGTACTGGTATTTTTTCCTGTGTGGACATGTGTGCACTATGCATGTACAATGCCCAAGGAGACCAGAAGAGGGTGTCAGGTCCCCTAGGACTGGAGTTCCAGGCAGTTGTGAGCTGCCACGTGGGTGCTGGGAATCAAGCCTATGGAAAAGTAGCAAGTGTTCTTCTCTGCTGAGCTGTCTCTTCAGCCCCAATTTTTATAAAAAAATGTTTTGACCGTTAGTAATGATATCGGTTTTCTCAATGGACACCAACTACGTCAAAATAAACAGCACAGTCCACAGCGGAAGGTCTTTCCATGAAGATCACAAAGCACCACTTTCGGGGGATCCAATTCCCTAGCACACAGTCTACGTTATTCTGCTAAGTGCGTCTGAGGCGAGCTACATACCAGCCGAGTAGCAGGAGTTGTTGGGCAGCGTTCTCGGCATATTCTGAATACATCGGAACAGGGTCACCAGGCTCAGCTCGTCCCCAAAGACGTGCACTTTCTTCCGCTGGATGAGATGTCCCATGGCAAAGATGGTATCTGTGTACAGAACCTGAGAAACAAGCCAGGGTGTCGTCAGGTGTGCGAGACCGTGGAAGCACTGGGCCAGGAGGGTGGAGGGTGGTGGTGGGGTGTAGGGGGGGAGCGCTGACACTACCTGGCTGTAGATGAAGAAGTAACCCGTTTGCTTCACCACTATTTTGTTCTCTTTTTCCTCCAGGGCGCTTCCTCTTTTAAAGCTGAGAAGCCACGGAACAAATGTGTAAGATCCTGCAGGAGAGAGAAGTACTCGTGAGGGAGTCAGCCGAGAAGAAGCGGTTTTCCCTTCTTACTAAATTTGAAATAGCACATCATATATTCTAAAAAATGGAAAAGAAGAAGAAGGAGAAGGAGAAGGAGAAGAAGAAGAAGAAGAAGAAGAAGAAGAAGAAGAAGAAGAAGAAGAAGAAGAAGAAGAAGAAGAAGAATTAGAAGAAAAGGGACTGTTCTCCACTGGGCTAGCCGCCGTTACATATTTTAGCATGGGCGGCCTCAGATGGAGACACCTCACAGACCTCGCTCCACAGGAATGCCTGGGTTTTCTTTCCTTGTTTTGTATATTGGCTATTTCCTTATAAAGGTTGGTTTGGGCGGGGAGGGCTGAAAGAAAGAATGAACTTTCCTGGCACTTCACACGGAGAGTGTCTTCTTCTACCTCCTGAGCGATCGGGTGAAGAACTTAGTTAGCAATGTGTCTAGAGGAACTAAGTCTACCCCAAGCTGGCAGCAGAACACAACCAGGAAGTACAGACAGCGACTGAGACGGACCCTGCGGTGGGAAGTGCTCAGAACCAGTGGACCAAGAGGAGGACATGAACGCTGAAGGGAGTTCTGTTCAGTGCCATGGAATCTCCTCCTCCTCCTCTCCAGAGCGACACAGAGACGGTGTGCTCAGAGCTGTACCGAGGGTAGACAGGAAGGGCAGACAGAGCAGAAGACAAGGGGACCAAGCCACTGGGCCAGGATGGAGCAGGGTGCTTCCTAGATCTCTCACCCAGGAAGAGAGTGTGAGCACACATTTCCTAGGAAAAGGGTACTCATGCAGGAGTGTGCACAGCTGCATTGTGCACACACCAGCATTAGGCTGAACCTCAAAGCTAGACGATGAGAAGAGCTATAAATTAAAGGAAGGGGAGCCACTGGCAGAAGATTGGGGCCACGGCACAGTGAGGACAGAATAGTAAGCAATGCCGTGGTGTGAGTCTAAACATGCCAGGACATTCAGGTACAATGGGAAACAGTGATTCAGCCTTAACCATCACCTCTGTCAGCAAAAAATGAAGGGGGACCTGTCAAAGGCCAATCAAACGAGTCCCAAAGAGACACTGTATTCACCTCTATATCACTGAGTCTGTCTCACAGGTTCATCCACACTGTGGCAAAGGACAGGATACCCCCTTCTTTTCTACAGCCACACGGTACCCATCGCTTCATGCCCCACATCCCCATCACCCATTCCTCTGTTGATGGACAGCCAGTTGATTTCTTGGCTGCTGTGACAGGTACTGCAACGAACTCGGGAGAACCGGCATCTCCTTAGCAGATTGATTTAGTTTTATCTATAAACCCAGAAGTGGGTTTGCTAACTCATACTCCACATTTTTCTCTACAATGGCTGCACTAATTAAAGGCGTTAAAAGACATCAGAAATAAAACAAGGCAGATGCCACTGTGAATTGAGGTCATAGTGAGTGAAAATCATTAAGTCGGCTCCTCAAGTAGGCATTGCCATAGACAGATGGGGCTGGGGGAAGATGCTGGGGTGGCTGGGAGAAGAAGATGCTGGGGCGGCTGGGGAAGATGCTGGGGTGGCTGGGAGAAGAAGATGCTGGGGCGGCTGGGGAGGGTGGGGAGGGAGGTGGCGGTGCCGGAGAGGAGCAGACAGGTACAGAAGCATCATGGTCCTCTTTCTCTTCAGCCTGTCTCTCTTGTATGCATTCACTCCCTGGAGTCACCTCCATTGCGTGTGCTTCCAAGAGTGGTGTGCCCCTGAGGTGGCGCAGGACTGACCACCACACTTTTCTTCTCAAGAGACAATTTCAAGGATTCTCTTAAATGAAAATCCCCCCACGATAATCAAGATAACAGACTCAAAGAAACAGAGGTCACATCCGTTGCAAATAGTAAAGGCAGCCTTCTTTTCTCTTCGTATGCGACATAATCCTAGTGAAAAGTCTGTAATGAATCAGTTTTTATTTTCTTTAATAAAAGTACCCAAAGTGTTTTAAAACACCGAGTACTGAAGAACCTGAGGAAGAAATAATGTAAAGATTGTTACCAGATGGGCATGGTGGTGTACACCTCTTAGTTCTCACATTGAGAGTTCAAGGCCAGTCTGGTCTACCATAGCAAGTTCCAGGATAGTCGGGGCTACATAGAGAGACCCTGCCTCAAACAAATACACAAACAAACAAAAGCTGACTATGTTGAAGTTGGTTACTTTCTTGGATTATTTAAAATTCCGGGTTAAACCGGGCGGTGGTGGCGCACGCCTTTAATCCCAGCACTCGGGAGGCAGAGACAGGCGGATCTCTGTGAGTTTGAGGCCAGCCTGGGCACAAAAACAACACAGAAAAACCCTGTCTAGAAAAAAACAAAAATAAAATAAAATAAAATAAATTCCAGGTTATAGCCCACCACTGTAGGAAAGTCAGAACGGCAGCAACTTGAAGCAACTAGTCCATTATATCCACACTCAAGAAAAGAGAACAGTATTGCATGCATGGTTTTTGCTTCCCTGATTGGATGTTTAAATTGCTTCATTCTTATTAGTTCAAAACCCCTTGTCAAGGGAATGACGCTGCCCACATGGAGCTGTGTCTTTCCACATCATGTAGACAACACCTCACTGAGACTCTCTTCCCAAGGGGTTCTAGGTGTGCCAAGGTGACGATTGAAGCTAATCATCCCTCACCTCTTGCTGATCTTTGGGCTCTGAGCCAGCAGGAGAGGATGGTAAAGGCCAATTGGTTAGGGTGAGAGGGATGCTTAAGCTCAAAGCCAGTTTGTAAGGATCAGGGGTAATGTCCTCATTTTACTTCAGGCTTCCAGTGTTTATGATAAATAACTATGAAGACTAGGACTACAGAAAGGGAAGCATTTGCCAGGCTGACCGCAAAAAGAGCAGAACAGACTTCACCAATATGGTGTGTGTGTATAGATGTATAGATAGATGGATACATGGACGGATGGATGGATGGATGGATGGATGGATGGATGGATGGATGGATGAATGAATGGGTGGGTGGGTAGATGGATGAATGGGTGGGTAGATGGGCAGACGGGTGGATGAATGGGTGGGCAGATTGGTGGCTGGGTGGCTGGGTGGCTGGGTGGATTGATGGATGGTAGATGGTTGGATGGGTGGAAGGGTGGATGGGTGGGTGGTGGGTGGATGAGTGGTTAGGTGGGGGAGGTGGATGGGTAGATGGTTAGATAGGATGATGGATGGGTAATAGGTAGATGGGTAGATTGATGGATGGGTGGATGAGTGGGTGGGTAGATGGGTGGATGGTTGGATGGGTGGGTGGATGGGTGGGTGGGTGAATGGGTAGATGGATGCATGGATGGTTAGGTGGGTTGGTGGATGGATAGATGGTTGGATAGGTTGATGGATGGATAGATGGGTAGATGAGTCGATGGGTAGATGGTTGGATGAATGGATAGATGGGTGAAAAGCAACTGAACAACTAAACGACTATTCTGACAATATCACAATAAACCACAGAAAACTCTGGGGTGGGTGGGGCACCTTGTTTCCAGAATCAACACATTATGATTTCCAAACTGCCTAATTTTCAAGAATAGGTCAAAAGACATACAAATATATAAGGAAATAATGAACCAACCACAGGAGAGAATAGACCTTAACCGAAACCATCCCTGGAAAAGGCCAGACACGGAACTATTAAACATGTTTATGCAACTGAAGGGAACCAGGATGGTGACATATAAACAAAGAGACACTTCCAATAACTTCCTCAAATTCTTCTAAAAAAAAAAGAATAGCTACTAACTCATGATGTGAAACCAGAATCACCCTGGTACCAAAGCCAGAAACCACAATGAACTCCATATCAAACATTAATCATGAGGGTAAGTACAACACTCCTTGGCATGATGCTAAGATCATGGGCAGGACTCTTATTACTGCTGCCCAACACTGCACTGGAATTCTAGCTCAAGCAGCTAGGAGACGAAGGAATAGAAGAAAAGGCATCCAATTGGAAGGAGTAAAGTAGAACCATTTATAGTCACACAAAACAGTGATCTATAGAACAGCTATCAAACCCAGCAGAGCTAATAAATTAATTTAACTAAGTTGCATCACACAGAGTCAGCTCCCCAAAGTCACTTTCATTTCAACCAAGAAGGGAAAAGGTGGAATTGAAGAATACAGTTCCATCTTTAACATCATCTGTTATGCACTGAGTTCATGTCTTCCCCAGACCCATATATCCTATGTCCTATGTTCATATGTCCATATGTCCATATGTCCTATGTCCCAGTGAAGCTGTTGGGAGGGAGGCAGAGACTTCAGGAGTTTTTAAGGTCACAAAGGTTCAGTCCTCATGAGTGGTACTGGTGTGAGTTACTCTTGGCTCTATTATCCATTGTGCAAGGTCACAATAAAAGGGAAATGGAGGGGGCTGGAGAGATGGCTCAGAAGTTAAGAGCACTGCTTGTCCTTCCAAAGGTCCTGAGTTCAATTCCCAGAAACCACATGGTGGCTCACAACCATCTGTAATGAGATCTGGTGCCCTCTTCTGGCCGGCAGGGATACATGCAGACAGAACACTGTATACATAATAAATAAATAAATCTTAAACAAAAAAAAAAGGGAAATGAAGGAGGAGTGGATCTGGGGAGAAGGGAGGTGATGGTGGTGGGGGACTGGGAGGAGTGGAGGGAGGGGAAACTTCAATTGGGATA